AGCATGGAATCTCCCCTGTCCTGCACCATCATCACAGCCGTTCCTATGCCTGAGCCCATTGCTGCAGCCACGGCATCCATCCATCTCCCTTTTTTTCTGCCCCTCTACTTGTACCAAACATGTTTCAACAGCTTGGAGCCTTATTTTTGGCTAATGCTTTCAGTGCAGCTTGAACTTCTTCCATTAGCACCATTGGTTCTTGCTCATGTTACCTCCTGAAATGGTGAATGTCCACTAGTTATTTTTGGGACAAGTTACTCTGTGTATTCTTTCCATGTTCCTTTGGTGCTTCCTACATCATTCAATATTTTGCCCATGGGCTTTTTCAGTGTTGTAACGGGAGGCTTGGATTTTTCCCCGAGTCCCTCCCGCTTCGGATCATCCCAGCGTATTCTTCCTTTCTGTATCCAGTTCTAGGTCTCTGCACCTTCCGTCACACACGTCACTTTGTCGTTGCGAGCTGCCCTGTGAAATTCTTCTGTTCAGCTTGCTGACCACATCTCCCATTTGCTTTCCATACTCTGATTACGAGCAAGTTTCAGAGTCTCTTCTGACGTCCACTTTAATCTTTCTTTTCTGTCTTTCTAATGACCTTTCCTTCCTTCATGAATCGTGGTCTTGATGTCCTCCCCATCTCATCAGGTCTTCTGTCATTAGTGGTCAGTGCATCAATTCTCGTCTTGAGATGTCCTTGAGGTTCAGGTGGGATAGACTCAAGGTCATAGTTTGGCCCTCTTGGACATGTTTCAATTTTCTTCAGATTTATCTTGAACTTACACATGAGCAATTGATAGTCTGTTCCCAGACTTACTTATGAGCAATTGATGGCTTTCAGTATCTGACAAAAGAGCCCTGTTGGTGTATGCATTGGCAGCAATCCCCCTGTTCGGCAGTTTGAAACCACCAGCAGCTCGTGGGAGGAAGAATGGACTTTCTACTCCCATAAACAATTACAGTCTCTACTACCCTCCAAAGCCTGGAGGCAATAAATTTCTGTTATCATAAAAAAATTTTTCCCAGTTTGTTCTCCTCTGAAGTAAAACATATTGTACTGTTTTCATAAATAGGCAAATTGCTGCTGTGCATCCTGTCTTTTAAAATCTCTGTTACAATGGACAATGTAAGGCAAGAAGTAACAATAATGATATATAATAATTGACCAAGAATTCATGAGGGTGGGAAGATGGGTGAGGGAGGGGGGAAAAAGAGGAGCTGATACCAAGGGCTCAAGAAGACAGAAAAGGTTTTGGAAATGTTGCGATGGCAACCTATGTACAAGTGTGCTTAATACAATTGAATGATGGATTGTTACAAGATTTGTAAGAGCCCCCCAATAAAATGATTAATAAACAAAAAACAACAAACGAAACAAAACAAAAACAATGACAGTCTTGGAAACACACAGGGTCGCTATGCCTCTGCATTGACTAGATGGCAATGAGTGAGTATCTGACAGTGCTTCAAAGCTATGCATGATGTCAGTGGCTCCTTCCTCCTAAGTGGCCACCTGACTCCTTTCGTTGCTGTTCTTGGTCTGGAAGCTCTGCTGACACCTGTTCACTCTGGGGGACCCATTGTGGCTTTTGAAGTGCTAGTGACATAGCTTCCAACATCACAATAATACACAAGCCACCGCAGTATGGCAAACTGACAACAAGTGGTGGCATGACATTACAACATTACACTGAATAGAGAGTCTTGTCTTTCTCCCGAGGAGCAGCTGGTGGTTTTGAGCTGTACACCCTGTGGTTAGCAGTCCAATGCATAACCACTAAGCCAGTGGTTCTCAACCTGTGGGTCGTGACCCCTTTGGGGGTTGAACGACCCTCTCACAGGGGTCGCCTAAGACCATTGGAAACCACATATTTCCGATGGTCTTAGGAACCGAGACACCGCTCCTCTATCTGTCTCCAGGTGGGTCCGTCCACATGCAGATATGCCCACATACCAGTACCTGGCGTGATGACATCATCGCTCCAACCCCATCACATACACTCCCTACAAATACATGTGTATGTGACAGGGTTTGTGTCATAATGTACTTATGCGGACCAGTCACACATGTGTAGAGAGCAGCTACTGTGTAGAGCAGCAACTGTGTTGAAAGCAGCAGTGTTGGAGGTAAAACGACACTTCATGAATTATAATTATAATTATAATAAATGTAAAATCATCAACTACTGCAAATAAAAATATGTATCTATACCATGGGAACTTAATCTGGGTGATGACTGGTCTTTTAATATTCAGCTGTGGTTGATGTGAATACTGCCCCCTTGTGATTGTAACAGGTATGTAAAAACAACCCAGAATGGTAAATCATAGAAAACTTTAATGAACTGTATTGACTGAACTATGCCATGTATCATCTTTTGTATTATTAAAGATATTGTTATATATTCTTTTCATTAGCAAACCATCCCATGACACTGGGTCGTGTAGAGAAGAATGCTAAGAAAAGAAAATATTGTGAGGATTTTTTTACAGTATGGTTTCATCTCAATAATTGCAGCTGGAATTGAGAAACCACAATATGTTATTTGTTGTGAAGTTCCATCAGCCGAATCTATGAAGCCAAACAAACTAAAACACCATTTTGATAGCAAGCATCTGAGCTTTGCCGTCAAGGATAGCAACTATTTCAGAAGGAAAACTGATGGATTCAAGAAAGCCAGACTTGACACTGGTGGCAAGTACCACAAACAAAACATACCAGCTGTTGAAGCTTCATATTCGGTGGCACTCAGAATCACCAGAGCTATGAAACCTCACACCATTGCTGAGGATTTACTGTTGCCAGCGGCCAAACACATTGTTCGAGTTATGATCGGAGATGAATTTGTTACGAAATTGAGTGCAATTTCCTTATCTAATGACTCTGTCCGCAGAAGAATAGATGACATGTCTGCAGATATTCTTGATCAGGTAATCCAGGAAATTAGATCTGCTCCACTTCCAATATTTAGCATCCAGCTTGATGAATCTACAAACATTGCAGACTGTTCACAGTCACTAGTTCACATGAGGTATGTTAATTATGGTGACTTAAAGATGAGTTTCCTTTTTGCAAACCTCTTGAAATGACAACTACTGCACGTGATGTGTTTGACACAGTTGGTTCATTTCTGAGAGAGCATAAGATCTCTTGGGGAAAGGTTTGTGGTGTTTGCACAGATGGTGCTCCAGCTATGCTAGGATGTCGGTCTGGATTTCAACGTTTGGTGCTCAATGAGTCACCAAAAGTCATTAGAACTCACTGTATGATTCATCGGCAAGTATTAGCAATGAAGACACTGCCACAAGAGTTACAAGAAGTAACGAAAAGTGTCATAAGTTCTGTCAGTTTTGTAAAGGTGAGCACTTTAAACAGTTGACTGTTTTCACAACTGTGCAACAACGTGGATACACTGAATAATACTCTGCTATTTCACACTGGAGTGAGATGGTTGTCGAGAGGAAAGTTTTAAAATGTGTTTTTGAGCTTCGTGATGAACTCAAAATGTTTTCTAATCAGAAAGCAAGACCGCAGTTCGAAGCACTTTTCCGCAATAAAAGTGAATTGCAGAAAATAGCTTACTTGGTTGCCATCTTGAATGAGTTAAATTTATCACTGCAAGGACCAAATGCAACATGCCTCAATTTGTCTGAAAAGTTCCCATTATTCCAAATGAAACTTCCGCTTTGACAAAAAAAAAGTTGGATGAAAATAAAATTTACATGTTGCCTACCTTATCTGTTTCTTTGAGAAACATGACATTGAACAAAAGTATTACGGTGATAATTCCTGTGAAAGAACACTTGCACATGCTTGCAGATGAAATTTCATCTTGCTTTCCAAATCTACCTGACACCACACTTGCACCTGCCAGATGCCCATTCACAGTCAAAGGTGAAGATGTTCCTGAGACAGCACAAGAGGAGGTCATTGAACTTATTAACAGCGATGCAGCGAGAACTGATTTCTCCACAATGCCAGTTACAAAATTCTGGATCAAGTGTTTGCAGACATATCCTGTTCTGTCTGAGACTGTGTTGTGCCTTCTTCTTCCATTTCCACAACATGTCTTTGTGAAACAGGGTTTTCCAGCTTGTTGGTTATCAAGTCTAAATACAGAAGTAGACTTGTTGTAGAAGATGATCTTCATTGTGCTCTTGCAAAGACTGCCCTGAGAATTTCTGATCTGGTGAAAAAGAAACTATCGTAACCTTCCCATTGAAGTCGACTCTACACAAACTGTCACAAAATGTAGCAATGTAGTTTACGGTTGTTATATTAGGACTGTTACCCATGCTACACCATGCTTCAAGACAAAATTGATTTGTCATTAGAAATAAGTATTTCACAATATATAATTACATATTGTTTTTGTGATTCATGACTAGCGTTTAATTATGTTCAATTTGTAACAATGAAAATACATTCTGCATATCAGATATTTACATGATGATTCATAACAGTAGCAAAATTAGTTATGAAGTAGCAACGAAAATAATTTTATGGTTGGGGGGGCGGTCACCACAACATGAGGAACTGTATTAAAGGGTCGCAAGCATTAGGAAGGTTGAGAACCACTGCACTAAGCTATCAGGACTTCTGTTGGTCCCATATAGATAGTCTTAAAAGAGCACAATGCTCAAAGCAGATGTTCTGTACTAATTAACCGGACCTATTGTTTGGTTTTAAGAAGACTTCAGGATCTTGTGGTTTAAGGCTTAAGGTTTAAAGCTTTACTTCAGAACTTGGGCAGCAGGGCTTCATCCGACCTCCCTGGCTCCAGAAAGTCTGGATTCCATGTGAATTCAGAAATTCTTTTCTGAGTTTGCCCTCTTTGGATCAAGGTTCTTCTGTAGCATCTTGGTTTCCAGCTCGGTCACGGTAGCCGGGCACCATCGACTTCTGCTGGCCTCACGGCAAAGGAGAGTTGATTTTGGAGGCAGATACCCCCACATTCCATTTCTTGCTCTTTTTTCTGACTCTCCCTTTTCTTCTGTTCCTTCAGGAGAGTGGAGACCAACTATTGGAACTTGGATGACACCTTGCAAGCTTTTAAGACCAGGTGGGCAAATTTGAGTTCAAAAGTCACCCTTCCTGCTATCTCTAGTTGTTCCTGGAAATTGAGCCTGGCTGACTTTCAGTTTTCATCCCTTTTCTCGCATTCGATTTTTGGTCTAGCCCCAAATGGGGTCCTAAGCCATTCGGTTGAGGCTCTGCCCTGATACAGTGTTGGTTTGCATTGCACGGATGCTGTAATTATGTTTCTCCAGCTTCTGATCTTCCTGGCCTTCCGAAATTCGTTTCCCAGCTTTAGAGATTTTGATTCTGCCCTTACCGGTTACATTTTTATTTCTCTTTTTCTCCAAGTGTTGGGGGCTTGCTTGAGCTGCTTTTTGACCCACTGATTTGCTTTTCTGCTCAGTGTCACCTGCTAGTTGCTCTTCCCATTGTGGTTTTGAGATGTGGTAATCATCTTTTACCTTTATAAGTAAAATTTGGTGGTCTTAGATTCTTCATTACCTTTTCACAGAGTCCAGCTGAATTATTTTGTGACTTCAAATTGAATGTGTTTTTATATGTTGCATTTTAAAGTTTCTTTTGCAGGTGGACATTTGATTGGTTTTCCTTTAGGCTCTTTTATTATATGTCTCCCAGCTTTTCCCTGTTCATCTGTATAGAGAAATCATGTAGATGCTAGGACAGTGTTTTCTGCATTCCTGAAAATACTTGGGCATTTGAGAAAAGTTCAGAGGAAAAGCTTTGATTTTCTAATAAGGGGCATTTAGATGTTAGCAGGTGTTATCGTGGGCATGAGCTTCTCTGTGTTGGTGTGGGCACCCCGAAATTACTTGGGCAACAGTTCCTTTCCTAGTTGGCAGGAGCACCACGATCCTGAGCTTGCTGTGGGCAGCCCTCCTGGCCCTGGTGGAGGCCAGCTTCGTGAGACCACCGCTTGCCATTCGCTGCGACCGCAGCAGCGCACCTGCTCTGAAGAAGAGCTTGAGAGATGCCTTTCTCCCTGACCTGCGGTCCCGTCCTCTGAATTCGAGGCCTGTTGTACCTGCTTCGAGCTTCGGGAGTCCAGCTGGAGACAGGAATGCTCTGTGCCAAGTGCCCTGTCTTCTCTGGCCAGAAAGATGGTAGCAAAGATGCTGACTGTCTGTGGTTGACTCAAGCCCCTTCACGAGGAGCTGGCTTCAGTAACTCTTCTGCATTCTTGGCCCTTCATGGGAGCATGTTTTAGGGGCCATAATTCACTTAGTCTTGTTGTAAGTGCCCTCGAGTCAGTTTTGATTCATAGTGCCCCCATGCCCAACAGATCAGAACACTGCCTGGTCCTGTGCCATCCTCACAACTGTTTCGTTTGAGCCCATTGTTAGAGCCACTGTGTCAACCCATCCCATTGATAGAGTTCCTCTTTGTTTTTTTTTGCTGCCCATCTCCTTTACCAAGCACGATGTCCTTCTGTCCTTCTGCTCCTGATAACATGTCCAACGTACGGGCGATGAGATCTTGCCATGGTTGCTTCTAAGGAACATTCGGACTACACTTCTTCTAGGATAGACCTGTATGTTCTTCTGCCAGTCCATGGTACCCTCAACATTCTTCTGTGGTTTTCCTCATTTAACTCTCTCTCTCTCTCTCATATATATATGAGACAATTGAAGACACTGTACCTTAGGTAAGGTGCACCTGATTCAGCCTCATACTTGTTGCTATGTGTGAGCTCATTGCTGCAGCCACTGTTTGTTTTTGTTTTGTTTTTTAGCACTAGCAATCTTTTATTCTTTTTTAATTGTTTTATTAGGGGCTTATACAACTCTTATCGCAATCCATGCATACATCAATTGTGTAAAGCACATTTGTACATTCATTGCCCTCATCATTCTCAAAACATTTGCTCTCCACCTAAGCCCCTG